GTCTCTCGATTTTCGACCTCAGTGGTCGATCAACTTTCGGTGTTCGACCCCAGTGGCGGGTCTCTCGATTTTTGCCCTTAATGGTCATTCGGTGTTCATTTGGGGTCCCGATGCTCATTTGGAGATTTGGTGACTATTTGGTGGCCGATGGTTTATTCAAATTACAACCTCAGTGGCAGGTTGGCGGAAACAGCTCGAAGAGGAATTTCACTCTTAGATCGAATCATTCAGACTCTACCAGAGTGGAGGGGACTAGATGATATAGGATATTATATACTAGACCAGTCCTAATGGATAAGAGGGGAATATATTGAAGAATATGCCTACACATGGCTAGGACACGTGGCACGACGCTATTGGACAAGCCCAACTTGGGCCATAAGGTACAGTCCCCCTATAAAAGGGGGCTAAGGTATCTCATTCTCACACTCTCTCTACATTCATAATTATACTCTTGGGATTTGGAGTGATACTGACTGGAGCGTCGGAGTCCCGACGCCGGGACCCCTCCCGGCATTGGGTTCTTGCAGGTACGGAGGCCGTCCGAGTCGAAGGAGCCCGAGTGAAATCTTATTCACTTCATAACCGCAATGAATAACTTGGAATTTACTGGGCAAAATCAAATGAAAAAAATCAAATGAATAAAACGAATAACCGTGCAAAATCAAATGAAAAAAGTTTCAAATGAATTGAGAAGCGGGCAAAAATCAGATTTAGGAGATAATTGGGCAAAACAACGTTGAATACATACAAACGGGATGTACCGGCCTCTGTCGATCTTCACTCGCCATTCGTTGTCATCTTCACTCGCCGTCCTGTTCGCTTCAATTTTAGGGTTTGAAGCAAATTGGGAAGAGGGGGATTTCAGATGAAAAAAACGATGGAGTGAGTGAGGATCTTTTCATTTTTATGTACCAGGGTATATATGTCATTGCAAGAGGTACATATCAGGTAATCCCACAAAGTAAACAAAAGGTTATTTTTAAATAATCCTGTCACACAAAGTAAACAAGAGACAAAAAACTGACATGTAAAGTTATCAGATTATTTTGTACAATCCTAACCCATGAAGTAAACGACCCCTAATAGGGGTGCAGTGGATAACAATTCACTAATTTTAACTCACTTCGATACCTTCTCCCTCACTTCTCCCTCACTTGCCTTTCACATTCTCACTCGGTCACTCCCCAAACCCTTGTCGTAAACCCTAATTCACAAACACTCCATGAATTTACTCGCCAAAGCGAAATTGTCCATTAGAGGCGGCCTTTGCCCCTTTCGATCCATCGCCGTACTTCAACAATGGAGTTTATACTGTACCAAAACCGCTCTGTTCAGCCCCATAACCCAACAATCCGCAGAGAATCTCAGAGCCCAGAAGCCCTCCGATTCGAGCCTTCCTCCAATGAAGATCAACGAACGGAAAGATTCGACAATAGATATTCTGTTCCGAGAGATTCCGTTCCGACCTCGTGTTGGCAACACCGTGAATTTGATCGGCCGCGTGAAAACCCCGGCCCATCTCGAGTCCGACGCCGATGGGAAATGCTTTGCCACGGTTTTGATTTCTCCGGATTATGACGCCGGGTGTGAAATGCTTCCCGGGTGTGAAACTCGGTTGATTCCCGTTGTGTACGAAGGCGAATTGGCTCAGTTGGCCTGTCGCCTTAAGGAGAACGATCGTGTTGATATTTCGCTGAGAATGGGTCCCACAAGGTTCCAGTTGAATTTGTGGAGGGATCTTTTGAAAAGCCCAAAACAGTGGTGGGATTATCGTGGTCACAAGTCTAATGGTCTGGTCAAAGAAAGACACCCCGACTTTAAGCACAAGGATTCTGGAAATGGGCTTTGGCTTGACAGTGCTCCCTTCTGGGTTTCGCAGAGACTTGCCGAATTAGAGTTTGACGTTAAGTTCTTGAGACCCAGGCTGTCGCAAGGTGGTGAAGGGGTTGGCGAAGCAGAAAATCGAGTTCAAGGTGCAAAAGGGGAAGATTCTTGGAGAAATTTAGTGGAAAACCCGTATAAATGGTGGGATAATAGATTGGGCAAGAAATATCCGAGATCGCCAGATTTTAAGCACAAGGAGACAGGCGAAGGATTGTGGTTAAGTAACATGCCGGAATGGGCTTTGTCGAGGTTACCCCAATCGAAAGTGGAAGGTGGCGAAGAGGTTGGCGAAACAAAGGAGTTTGAAGTGAAGTTTGTGACAGAAAATCGAGTTGAAGGCACGAAAGGGGAAGATTCTTGGAAGAATTTGGTGGAAAATCGGAATAAATGGTGGGATAATAGATTGGGCAAGAAAAATCCGAGATCCCCCGATTTTAAGCACAAGGAGACAGGCGAAGGATTGTGGTTAAGTAACATGCCGGAATGGGCTTTGTCGAGGTTACCCCAATCAAAAGCGAAAGGTGGTTAACAAAGGAGTTTGAAGTGAAGTTTGTGACAGCAAATCGAGTTGAAGGCGCGAAAGGGGAAGATTCTTGGAAGAATTTGGTGGAAAATCCGAATAAATGGTGGGATAATAGATTGGGCAAGAAAAATCCGAGATCACCCGATTTTAAGCACAAGGAGACAGGCGAAGGATTGTGGTTAAGTAACATGCCGGAATGGGCTTTGTCGAGGTTACCACAATCGAAAGATGGGAAGAAGAGTATACAGGCCCTTGAAAGCGTTTGAAAATGCGTTTTTCTTTATTGTTAATCAGTTTCTTTGTGTGCTTTGTGAGTGATTGACGGTTTTAAGTGTAGTAACTTGTTAATGGTGTTTGGGTCTTGATTTGAAGGCTTTTTGAGTGTTGTTAAGTGTGAGGGATGGACTTAAGTTGGTTGTTTTTGGTTATATGATATATCTGCTCTTTTGGGGGTGAGTTTGGTGTTCCGGAGGTTTGGGGGACGGGTCGCCTTTTGGGTTTGGCTACGGGCTCGGTATCAGCTTCGGTTAGGCGGTTCGGCAGTTTCGGAAGCTGGTTTCTCGGGTTGCGGATCCATCCACAGGTAGACTATTTCTCTACTGGTTTGGTTCGGCTCGGTTGATCGGATGTGGAAGGGCTTGGCTTTATTTTGGCTTTTTACTTGTTTTTTGTGTTGGTCTAGTAGGTTGTTTAGGAGTCGTGTTTTTCTGGTTTGGGTTGTTGATCTCTGTAGTGAGCCTGAGCGTAAGCGGATATTCTCCTGTTGGGAGCCTTGTAGTTAGTTTAGTGTTGTAGAGCATGTTTGTTTTTGTTTGGATTTTTTTATTTTGTTTGGTTAATTTTGAAAAAATGTGGTATGATTAGTTGTTAGTGTGTATATTCAAATAATATTGAAAATAAAATAATAAAATTGATTTGATGTAAAAGTAGGAGAGAGATGATTTGAAGTGATGGTTAGTTAAAATAATGTAAGTGATGACTAGTGAATTAAGACCACCTCCAGCGCTGCAATATTCTAGCGCAAAACACTAGAGTGTGTTCTGTCAAATATCTGCTCCAACCCTGCGTTGAAATCTTGCGCTACATCAGATATGGGAACAGTGCTGCGCCAATTATAGTGCAACATTGTAGCGCAGCGCCAGATTTTTTCTTTTTTTTTTTTTGTTTTTTTATGCTCTAAACCATATATGGTCTAGTGTGTAAAAGCTACATCAGATATGGGAACAGTGTTGCGTCCATTGTAGCGCAACACTGTAGCGCAACGCCAGATTTTTTCCTTTTTTTTGTTTTTTTATGCTCTAAACCATATATGATCTAGTGTGTAAAAGCTACATCAGATATGGGAACAGTGCTACGCCAATTGTAGCGCAACACTGTAGCGCAGCGCCAGATTTTTTCCTTTTTTTTGTTTTTTTATGCTCTAAACCATATATGGTCTAGTGTGTAAATTTGCACTAACTCATATATGGTCTAAACCATATATGGTCTAGTGTGTAAATTTGCAATAATTCATATATTTTCAAAAGTAACAGTTTTGATTCAATCGGTACATAGATGTATATGTATCTTAAATTCAATTTATTACAATTCATTTTTAAAATGAATAAAAAAATAATATATTTAATGTAGAGTAAAATATAGAGATAAGGGCTGGAGATGGCCTAAGGTTGATGTTGTATGTATGAGTGATTGATTGATATTATTAAATTATATTCATAATATATATAATTTCTAGCTAATAGCATTTAATAAAACATTTAATAAAATCTCATTTCGATTTTTCTCCAAAAACCGTTACAAACTTTATCATTTATATCTCTTTCTCTATATATTTAATTACTTAATAATATTAATTATTGTTTACCATCTTTTTATGTTACAATCTATTATTATTATTATTATTATTATTATTATTATTATTATTAATCCACCATATCTAATTAATGCTAAAATATTTCATTGCACTTTTTTTAGGTTAATGAAAACAAAAACCGTTACATTTTAGATTAATGGAATAATAATTATACTATTTTATTATATCATATAATAGTTATTATTAAAATTAATAACTATAGCTTACACTAAATGATATATGAAAGTTACATAAACATAAAAAATTATTGTAAACTTTTTGCTAAAGTTATTTATTCTAAAATTAATATTATATATTTTTTTTTATCTTATTTAGCGATTGTATTTTAAATAAGTTAATTTATTTTAATGTTATAGTAAAATTCCTTAAAATCTTATAATCAAATGTTACAATAAATTAATATTTGTAAGCTAATAAATTGGAGATATCTCAAAATTACATTATTTATTATATTTTATGTAATTAATATAGTGGTTCATATGCAATCAAATAGTTATGTACTATTTATTTTAACCAATGATCAAATTTTAAAACATAATATCATTATCTAATTTATATTTTTATTATTATATCCATAAATATAACTTATAATATCCTATGTTTAAAATATAATTTCATTGTATAACTTATAATTTTGATACTATATGCATAAATGTAACTTATAATATTCTATTTATATTGTGCAAATGCACAGGATAGAATACTAGTATATATAATGCTGGCTCATGAATATTTAATAAAACCTATTAAATTATACCTATGTGGCAATGTAACTTTTTCCCTCAAAAAACAGTTACTTTTTATTTATTCAACCTCTTATTTAATTATTAGATAATCAATACACTAATCACTTCAAAATTACAAAAATCATTTTAAACTTTTGATTTACTTGCAGCTGACCATATAATGTGTTGACTATTTAACGTGATTAGATGTTATTGTTGTGGTTGCATTAAATTAACTTTTTTTAGAAAATAAATTTGAAATAAACATACCGAAATATACATTTTATCCAATATGATAAACGCAATTTAAAAAAATAAATATTCCAGCTCCTTTAATTTTAAATTTGGCCTGCAAAAAAGTGCAAGAAAAATCATTAATCATTGTATGCATACAAATAACTCACAATACTTTATTTATATCTGTGCAAATGCACAGGTCGAATACTAGTATTGATGATAGTGTGGTTGAGTTACAAAAAGTGGTTGAGTTAAAATGTTGGATTTTTTTTTGAAAATATCTATAAACAAACATGCTCGTAGTGTCGCAAGTCTAGCTTTACTAGCGTGTCTCTAGGCGATCTATGGCATCTCAGTTTTTAACTCTCAATTATATCATTCAGTTGTGGGCTGCTTTCGGTTTGCACTTTTATGCGCCTTATTTATAATAGTATCCCTATCGTTTCAAACAAAAAAATATATATGCTCTTTTAGAGAAGGTTCAATGTGAAGACTTGGGCTTACGCATTTGTGCACATTAAGTTTTGGAGTTATATATAAAAAAAAACCCCAACTATTAATTCATATCATTTATTTTTTACTTTTACATCAAATAAATTTTAATATAAACTCAAATCTCACTAATAACTAACTATACTATGTTTTTTAAAATTAACTATATTAAAAAAATTTATAAATAAAAATCAAATCAAATTCATATTCACTCACACCCTCAAAATGTATGTTCCCTATTAGAATAGTAGTGGATAAGTCATGTTTTAAATACCGTACCGTAACGGCCGGTAATACCGAATACGACCATTGGTATGGTACAATTGCACACACAATACCGGATTTACGGTTATATCGGTTTGTACCGGGATCATACCATTAATACCGAAAAATACCGATCCAAAATACCGGCCAATAAAAAAAATTAAAAAAACTAAAATTTATTAATTTAAAAACATAAATTTAAATTGGTTTAAAATATTTTATTTTTATCTCTTTGAGAAGTTGAAATTAATTATTATGGTCATTTATTTTTCTACTTTTTTTGCTTTTGCTATTATATATTTTTATGTATATTATATATATCATTATATTTGTTAGTCCGGTAATACCACCGATATTACCGGTCCGACCGGTAATACCGCGTACCGGTGGCTAGACCAGTATGACCACCGATACGGTATTTAAAACATGTTATTAAACCAAAAAGAGATGAACATTATAATATATTGCAATATTAAATTGGGGTGGGGCGGGTTGGACAATGTGGACCTTCTGTTTGTGCTACGCTGCCCAAAGGATTTGACCCGCGACCCACCCGCAGAATGATTGCGGTTCCTAAAACAAGGAGATACGAGTTTGAGAAATTTAAACCTGTAGAATGCAGAGTGCGGCCCATGTAAATGTCTAACGGACTCCCTTCGACTACCGGAAATTTGTAACTATCACGCGTCCATATTTATACCTTGTCACACCACTTTCCGTGTTTCAGTTTGGTTGGCCTCTTGACACTTGAATTTCACTGTGGAGGTTTTTAAAGTTACTATAAGTGCATTTTAGAGCCATTTGTCAGTATCTTGAACCTCGCCTGCAAACTGTTCGATGAAATGTCTGAACGAATTTGATTTTCATGTTAATTCGTTTTTGTCTTTTGGCAGGTGAAGATTTGTGGGGAGACTACAAAAATGATAGTTACATTGAGCAACACCACACTCTATCCTCGTCGACCGTTAGTTGTTGCATCCAAAGCCCCAAACCCAGCTCTTTCCCGCCACCTTAATCACACCAGAGAAGTTACGTGCTCGAATAGAAAATGCCGATTTCCTGTTCGTCTCGTGAATGGGTATTGGAAAATAAGGGCTAATCCCGTGACAAGTTATGAAGGGTTGTGGGAGGACCCTGATGATGCTAGTGATGATAGCGAGTACGACGAAACCGATGAAGATGATGAGCAGGAGAATGACTTGGATTATGAGAGTGATTTGAAATCCAATGGCAATGAAAAGGCCTCTGTTAGTAATCTTGAGGATTTATCGAGGAAAAAGTACGAGGAGGATCTTGTTAGAGGTTTGTGTTCCTTGACTATTTTGATTTTTGTTTTCTTTCTTGTGTTTAAGTTGTGTAAAATTACATGGGTTTGAAGTTGTAGGCTTGTACTATTTAACTTATTAGAGCGTGTTCTGCAGACACTTGTGCTTTTGGAGAAACTTTTAATTAGTTGGAATAGGAAATTGGTTCTGCTGACAATACAAGCTAGAAAGTCGAGCATTCAATTTGTGCGTTAATTGTAGTTTGCTGATAGAGGTCAAATAGCCACAAATTGAAACAAAAGTTGGCTTTTGAAAATAAATTAAAGTCTGACTGATTTTAGTTTCTTGTTCCTTTTTCAGCCAGAACACTGGAAATTACTTCTTTCTAATGTTTGCAAACATTTCCTCCGTAGTTTAGGGTTCAATGATTGGAATTTGGAAAAATGCAGAACCTTCTATGTTACACAAAGCTGCTATTTATTATATATTTTGCGATATAAAATGAGCCAAATAAGTCTGATGATTTGGATTTTTGTAGAGGTGGAGCTAATGTTAAGCCCAGAAGAAAAGGCGATCTTGGAACAGAATGAAGCTCCTAACCTGGAAAAAATATCAACTGTAAGATAATTATACCGTTAGCTACATTTTTTTCACAGCGTAATTCTTTTCTGTCAACATAATATAACTGCAAACTGAATAATTTAATATATGGTTATATAGATCGAAATGTTTTTTCCATTGTTGGCACATGAAAAAAATTCCTGACGACCTCTCTCTCTTAGGCGAAATGGAAGCCTCTCCATTCTTTTGCGCTAGCAGGGCACATAAAATACATGGATAGCATGCTTGAAAAGGGGTACGATATCGACCTGGTGGACAAGGTATGCGTATTTTTACTAAAAATAATATTATTTCTCTGGGTTCTTGCATTCTTTGTACGCTGCCTAATTAATATTTGCAAATTTGGTGATTCAGGATGGATTGACTTCCCTGCATTTGGCCGTTATTGGGAAAAGAGAAGCTGTCATCAGTCATCTCTTAAGAAAAGGAGCAAATCCTGAAGCAAAAGATAAGGTATAGCAACTAATAAATGTTTGATTTGAATGATCATGCCCTTATGTTTAGGTAAACACCAAAAAACTCCTTTATGCTTGGCCTATTTACAAAATCCCAGTTGTCTTTCAATGATAGAAAATCCTTTATATATGCTCCTGTTTTAAAGGTCGATGGAATTTTGTATTTTTTGAAATGCTAATTGTTCTTTTTACTGTAACTAGTGAAGTGCATGAGGCACGTGGTAGTAAAATCACTTCATGCAAAATGGTCATAGATAGTGATATTTCCATTTTCCATTTAACACGCAAGAATTGTTCTTATTCTTTTATTTATATGACTTGTTCATCACATGTTTTACAATTAGGTCAAAAAGTCTAGTGTACTTTCTCCATCATATATTCGACATGAACATATCTTAATATTAAGAATAATGAGATGTCCTTTGACTACATCACAGGATGGTGCCACTCCTCTTCATTATGCAGCTCAAGTCGGAGCCTTGCAGACGGTGAAATTGTTGATAAAGTGCAAGGCTGATGTGAATGCTGCTGATAATGTGAGAGCTCATTTTACTTTTGTATGGATCTATGATTGATGTAATTTTGTTCGAGACTCTTACTATATTGTCAAGTTCATATCTTTTAGCCATTTTCATCTTTTTGTACCTGTAGGAAGGGTGGACACCGTTGCATGTGTCCATGCAAACCAGAAACAGATATATAGTCAAGGTATTGTTAGTGTGTGGTGCTGATAAAACAAGGAGGAATAAGGTAATTCTTTCTCCCAGAGATATTTATAGATTTTCTAATCGGCTTTTTTGTGGTTGGTTATCCGTCTCTCTGAAAAATAAATTTATGGAACTCTTTAAATATTTGCAATTCTGAAGCAACTGGAAAATTTCCTTCACAGGGCCCAGATTTCTCTCTCTCTCCGTCTCTCTCTCTCTCTCTAGAGCTTTCATTTAAGGATAATTTTTTATTCAGATTCCAGACTCACAATTAGAACCAAAGTTAATTTCCTGATGTGTGCAATATAAAATTTAAGTTCGTTGAGAACTTGCAAAAACTTTGTCCTGATTGTGACCAAAAGAGACTTGCCAGTAACAATTGCTTTTGTGTTGTTAATTGTTATATCTGAAGATTTAGGTCCGTCACCTGTTGCCAAGAACAAGATATAAAAAAGCTCATGTTTCTTTTCCGAGGTATTTAAGCCTACTTTGATCTTTATGACCACAGGATGGAAATACACCACTTGATCTTAGCTTATGTTATGGGAAAGATTTCAAGTCATATGAACTCGCGAAGTTAGTGAAGCAAGTTTCGACCACCAGATACACGTGAAGACTGCGGTTCTTACATAAGCATGCGTTCGACTCGTAAGGGTTTAGAACCATGTTAAGAGGGAGGGTCCCACATGGAATCAGTTGAATGTGTTAAATCCGTTGTTTNTTCTTCCTGATCGGTTAAATCCGTTGTTTTTTGTATGAGTGATTGACTTGCATTTGTATGTATTGAGGCAACACAATGAGTAAATTACTGTGAGCCGGACATTTTAACTACACAATCACACGCACCCTTATGCACATATGTGGGTGATTGCGTGATTAAAAAGCCCGTGGCCAGTGGCTGCATGTGTATGTGCGTGCAATGTTTTCAAAGTCCATAGGTGTTTGCTAGGCATTACGTTGGAATCTAGCGCCTAGGTGGAAATTGGTTGAAATAACCTTCCACACTAATAAAATTGGCCACATGACCTTTGACTCAAAATATAAAAGTAAATTTAATGAAAAATGATATTAAAAAGACAATTACTAATATATCCTTAACATAAAATTCTCGATCTGCCATCTTTCTTTCTCCAATTTCCCCTTTCTCCTTCATTTTTCTTTCTCTCTCCCCATCGTCGCCCTCTCTCGCCCTATCTTCACGCGCGATTTCTCTCTCGCCATCATCTTCTTCCTCACCCTCTCTCACACAGTCGCGATTACTCTCACCGCCAATCGAGTCACGACCATTCATCTTGTTCGAAACAAAGCTGATTTGGTTGAGAAGAGGTATGTATTTTTTTTGTTTTATGCTATTGTTTGTGATTTTCCTTGAAATAGATCCCATTTAAGTAACTATACATAAAAAAAAAAAAAACAACATATTTTGCTTATTTTTTTGGTTATTTTGGTGTTGCTTAAGGTTTTTGTTCCATCAAAGCTTGTTGTCTGTATGAAATATTGATATCCTTTCCTTGATCACCTGGACATGCTTTTATAAGATTTCATTTAATAATTGGTTTAATTTTTTACGGGCCTTGTTTGTTTCACAACTTTTCATCCAATTCATTACTTCTCTTGTTTTACATGCCATGTTTGTTTCATGAGACGTGTCCATCCTACTCATACTTTTTCCGTTTGTTACTGGTGGACTATAAATTTGGTGATTCTCTGTGAAAGAATATGGTTAGTGTTCTAAATTTTTCTGTTCTAAATATTATTAAACCAAAATACAGAGATGCACCCAAGCCCATAAAAATTTATGTGACGGCTTACTGGCATATTAAATAATAGCAATTAGAAATAAAGTACATTACCATTTATCACCATATTCATTCCAAATCAATTATTTGAAGTTTCATGATTTAACTATTATAATTTCTGTCGTATGTAAATATTTTGCTACAATGAACTTCAAATCAATAATGATGTGTATCCGATCAGTCATACTAGTTATAATAACATGAGAATAGTAAAACATTTTTAAACCAAAATGTTGAAGGTCATTTTTCTTCATATATAGATAAGTAATTCTTTCATTTTTAGCTTTAACTTTAATCTGCTTCAGATAGACGTACAACTTGTTGGAAATTAGAGTTCCTACTTTTGTGATGCCTGAGCCTAATCAAGTAGTTTGTGACATTCTGCATATAAGGTATTACTTTGGAGACTTTATTTGTAAGATGATTATTGCCTGATACATCCAAAAATTGTATATCATTGTACTAATTGGAATGCTAACATCACTTATCTATACTTATATAATAATGTGTACCATTTACAAAATTTAGTAAGTTGAAAAGTCAATGCAATAAATGCATTATTATTTTGAGCAAAATAATATAATATCATATCTATACTTATATAAAAGGAGATTCTATTTACTATATTTACTATCCAGAAAAGTCAACTACATTAAATGCCACTACTATTTTGGTATTATAATATTTTATTTATTTATTTGTTTTATTTTAAAAAGATAAGTATAATAAAAAGATTTTAATAATAAAAAAATCAAATACCAAATAAAAATGTACACTTTGACTTATTTGATTATATTTGGTATCTGATTATACCAAATATATTCCTATTTAGTATATACGTTAAATACTTACTAAAGTATTTATTTGTTTTATTTGTCAAAATTAAGTATAGATTTGTTTATATTATCAAATCATAAAAAAATATTAAATCCATATTGTAAAAAAAAAATCATACAATTTTATAACAATTCTACTACACTATTTAACAATATTCCTTTTTTGTTATATAATAAAATAATAATTAAATATTATATGGTGAACAACAATAAGTAAAACTGTTACTTTCTCTTATATCAAGGGATAATATGCTAAAATTAAATTTTTATTAGTATAAATGTTTTAGTGAGATAATATATTAATTATTTTACAAGCTAGCCCTAACATGCTCATATTCAATGTTTTAAAAGATGTAGAAAAAAACTTATAATAACTCTATTATGTTTTAGACTTAAACGTTGATTAATAGAGGTAAAAATTTCTAATTTTTTAGACTTAAACGTTTATTAACACCATAGATTGAGAGTCTGTATTTAGTAAAATTCCTAATTGTAATAAAAAAATTAATTTTTGCTATATTTTAGAATATCTTTAAATTCATTATAAAAAAAAAAGAAAAAAAAACTACAATGAAAAAAGCAAGTCAGCTATATATCGATTTGTTGTACTCCTCAAATCACATTCACAATTTGGCTACAAGGAAAGGAAACTCATTGATTAAAATATTATTTTGTCAGTAGTCTTAATGTACAAGAGACTTTAAGACTCCACTTGAATATTATAAAACTTTTATTGAACATTGTACAATTTTCTTGCGTATTATAAACTTTTATTGAATATTGCATCTTATAATATAATATTCTCTAAATAAATATATCCCGTGCTTCGCATGGGTCACGTACTATATATATCTCGTACATTTTTCTTTATTCATGTATATAATTATAAGCCTGTACTAGTTAGTTATTTAAATAGATAGAGTATTTTGTATGTATTTTGTGTGATTGAGTGAATTACATAATTAGTATTACATGTTGTTATGTTTACATGCCAAATTTTGTTATTTATGTAAAACGTAAATGGGGTTTTGAAAATTCAAGGTATGAAAATGTTGTGGTATAAAAATTGGGTTTATACAAAGTTTGATTTGAAATGGTTACAATCTCCTAGCCAAATAAATGGGTACATATAACATATATTTTGATCATATCAGGTTTATTAGTGTACTATGAAACTTGGTAAACTAATAGATATTGTACATTTATATTGCAGGTCTGACTATGGAATGTTTACAATCAACTTCATCTAGTTTTGCATGACAAGATGGATGTAAAAGTCATAGATGAAAAAGCGATTTCCTGTTGGTGTGAGAAACTAGCAGCTGAGATATTTGCTTCACATTTTGATCCCTAGTTTCTTTTAGAAACTGAATATTCAATGACCTGAAGGGATGTTTTGGAAATCACATTTTGACTGGTATATTATTTTTTATGTGTTGGAAGCGAGTTGCTAAGCCTTGAACTTATATTTTGACTTGTGCATTGTTTTTATGTGTTTTCCAATGCAATGAAGCGATTTGTTAGTTTTAAGTTATATTTTGACTGCTGTATTGTTTTTTGATGTATTTTCTGATGCAGGGATTATTCAAATATTATGGGTATTTAAATCACCTAATGTATTTCTTGAAAAGTTGCTATAGGAATTTTGGAACGACTGTAGTTTCATTATAACGTATTATATAACGAAGGCAAAATCGTTATAGTAGCATTTCATCAATAGGGCTGAAAATATGACTATAACGAGAGTACTATCGTTATAATGTATTATATAACATATGTGGTATCATTATAGTAGTATTTTATCTGAAGGGCCAAATTTATAACTGTAAAGAATTTACTATCGTTCTAATGTATAATATAATGAAGATAGAATCGTTATAATAGTCTTTTATCAAAATGGCTGAAAATATTACTACAATGAGAGTACCTTCATTCTAATGTAATGTATAATGAAGGTACCTCGTTATAACTGTCGCGGGCGCGACCATTGGAAAACTCTAGTCTCGGTCACTCGCGAGGGACCCTCGCAGGCGTGAGCCTCGCGCGACAGTCATAACGAAGGTACATTCATTATAAAATACATTATAACGAAGGTACCCTCGTTATAGTTATATTTTCAGCTCTTTTTTGTTGAAATGCTACTATAACGATTCTACATTCGTCATATAGTACATTAGAACGATAGTACATCGTTATTGTTATAATTTTGGTCGTTTAGATAAAATAATACTATAACGATACCACCTTCGTTATATAATACATTACATAACGAATGTAGAATCGTTATAATAACATCTCATCAACAGGGCGGAATATAACTATAACGAGAGTACTTTCATTCTAATGTAATGTATTACGGTACCCTCGTTATTACTGTCACGGGCACGACCGCTGGAAAACTTTGGTTTCTATCAACTCGCGAGGGACCCTCGGAGATACGAGTCTCGCGCGACAGATATAACGAGGGTACATTCGTTATGTAATACATTATAACGACGGTACTCTCGCTATAGTTATATCTTTACTCCTGTTGTTGAAATACTACTATAACGGTTTTACATTCGTTATATAATATGATAGTACACTCGTTAGAGTTGTAATTTCGATCCTATCGATAAAATACTAAAATATAACAATACCACCTTCGTTATATAATACATTAGAACGATAGTACTTCCGTTAGAGTTATAGTTTCTATCATTTGGATAAAATACTAAAATACTACTATAACAATACCACCTTCGTTATATAATACGTTAGAACGATAGTACACTCGTCAGAGTTATAGTTTCGATCATTTAGATAAAATACTATAATAACAATACCACCTTCATTATGAGTTTGATGTGTTTGATTGATATGATTTCTTGTGTTAATTTTGAAAAATGTCATCTCTTGTCTAATTCTACAAACTTAGTAGTGTTCGGCCGATTTATTCATTATATCTATTTCTAAAACGAAGCAAGTATCGTTATTGCATAAAATAAGTTTCGTTATAAGTATTTCGATACTATAACAAGAGTACATTCGTGCTAATCTAATATATAATGAAGATAGAGTCGTTAACATAACATTCCATCAACAGAGCTGA